TGCTGGTGGACTGGGTCTAGGGGGGGCTGGAGGGGGGGCTGCTGGTAGAATGGGTCTAGGGGCGCTGGAGGGGGGCTGTGGCCATTACTGAGCCATAACTGGGAGACCTGGGCTGAGGTTTCTCCTCACACACACACAGTCAGTTCCACAGACACACACCTCTTCCAGCTGCTGTCCAGCTGCTGTCCAGCTGCTGCTTTGCTCTGAGAGACTCACTAATGTCCTGCTACCAGTGGTATATGTTTTACAAGCTCCACAAAAATGTTTGAAAACTGTCTTTAAAGCTACTGGCCTGTAATTATCATACTGTGTCTGTTACCTTTTTTAGAGATGGGCACTTCTTGGGTTAGTTTCATGTCTTGCGTGAATGGAAATGTTGCATATAAAGGTTAGAGGTTTTACAAAGCTGTGGATGAACTATTTAAGGTAATCCACACATATCAATATGGTTTACAACCACTGATGTTTTCTTATTATTATTTTAGTTTTGTTTTTGGAAGTCTCTAACAAAGAAACTGTAATTGAAGAAATCTTATATTCTATACATTTCTGAATTGATTTTATCAAAATATTTTTTCCCCCTCTGCAGATGCAGGTAGAAAGTGTGTGTGAGCTGGTGTGCGTTTCCTCTGCAGGTAGAAAGTGGGTGTGACCTCAGCAGCATGGATCAGAGTGAGGAACCTAAAAGCTCTCTGGGTGGGGAACCTGAGAGCCAGAGCAGAGCTCAGAGGTGAGAGGACCATCTCTAACTGTCAGGGACTCTTCTCCATGTCAGAGCTCCAAGACTAAAGCAGCTTTATTCACAGGAAACAGCCAGAACCAGAACCAGAACCCAGCTGTGTGTCCTTTAAAAGTGACCGGTCAAATGACAGGGGTATTAACTTCAAACCAGATGTTCCATCAGACAAACAGTAAGTAGCTGTCAGTGGTCAGAGGAGGCTGCTTCCTGAACTTCTTCAGACCTGGATCAGTTCTTGATGTCTCTGTGAGACTAATTCTAATGTTATGCTTTTAGTTGAGTCCTGCAGCTCTTTACTCAAACAGAGGGAGAATATCACTGAGCAGCTGTTCTGGCTGGAACATTGTTCCTCAGCAGCCACTCTGACTCTTTAACAGACTCAAACACCATCACTGAGTACAGTACATTAAAGAAAACAAGTGTTTTTCTGTCAGGACCCATCAGAGTCTTGGACCTGAACCCGAACCTGAACCAGAACCCGGACCTGAATCTGGTCCTGGACCTGGATCTGGACCCAGCTGTATGTCCATGAAGAGTGACTTGTCAATGATGGTACCTCTTACCTTCAAACCAGCCCATCCTCCACCATTCCAGAGGTGAGCTGTGTGTGAATGCTGTAACAGTGTAACATGTATCAGTCAGTTTGAACTGTTTTATTTCAACATGTGTTTAATGTGAGCTCAGCTCTGTTTCAATCATCTGTGTCTTCAGAAGTGAAGCTCTGTGTGTTGAATGTGTCCCTTAAAGTCTGTGGTCAAAGTGGACAGAATGGATGTTGGAGGAGGTCTTTGTGAGTGTGTGTAGGACAGCAGCTGGTCCAGCTGGTGTCCCCTTTGTGCTTTGGCTCTAACCCAGTGGAGCTGGGAGCTTCCACTCAGTGGCAGCTGCTGCTGGATGGAGGAGGACACAAAGGAAAAAGTTGTAGGTCTCAGTGGGACCAGCAGGACCAGTACAGGAAGTCCTCTGGTGGACTGGAACATCCACACATCCACTCATGGACCTTCAGCTCGTCTTTGTCTGTGTGTGGGTAGACAAAATGTGAGGTCATTCTTCCTGATTCCTCCACAGAGTGGAGCAGCAGGGCTCAGAGGTTCCCAGTGCTCAGTCTGCCCAGCAGCATCAAACACAGCTGGACTCGATTTTCATGGTCTGGACATGTTCTTTTCTAGTTCTTCTGTTCATTTATCTCCACGCTGCACTTTGTAGACCAGTGGATTGTCAGAGAGTCCAACATGGAGCTGATGTTTGGCTCCATGTTTCAGTCTGATTGGATCATTCAGATCATGTTCTGTTCCAGCTGCTGGAGGA